CAAAGCCGATTTTTGGTTTTAGAAATGTTTAAAAATTAAGCACGACATTTAGTTCGCCTTCCCCTGTACCTGACACAGAGGTAGGCGTTTGTTGCGCCCCCCAAACGGGCCACGTGGTAGATGAGCTGGACCAACACGGGAGCCATATCGAATTCTAGTAGGCATTATCGGAATGCACACCATAGCAAATGCCAACATTCCGGGGTGGCAGACCCGGTTGTCGGCACAGGTCGCACACATTGGGACCCCTGCTGCCCCCCGTTTTTGTTGGTGTTGTAATCCTGGTCATTTGCTGTGCGGACTAGGGGGTGTGGATTACAGCGCCAAGGTGGGGGCTCGATCGTGCCATCCGCCTGCGCCCCCTCCGCCTCCGGTTCTCTTGACTCTGACTTGACGCCGAGCTCAGATGGGGGGGGGGAGAGAGGGGGGTGAGAAGTGGGTGCAGTAGATGCAATGCAAATCTACTATCACTATAGGCTGATTCACGAGCAAGTCACCGTGTGCTTGCCGTGGGGTACACGGTGGAAATCGTCGGCAACGACAGTTGAACCGTCGGTAGGCTTTTGTTACTGCCTGTGGACGTGTGACGAGTTCAAAGGACTAAAAAAATCAATAAAGCACGCCGCGCAGCTAGATGGCCGTGCGTCACACTACACAGGACAGTCGCTTTACGGAATTCCTTCGACTTCTTGTCCGTAAGGAGGATGATGTTGCCCTGAAATTTTTCCTGAAGAATCAAGATAAGCTCCTCACCGAGGAAGCATGTGGTCCCATGTCAAAACTATTTAAAAAGCGACTTGCTGACCGAGCTGAAGAGGACAAGGAGTATGCAAAGATCGTCATCGAGGCAGAGCAACGCAGAAAACGCCTCGAAGAGGAATACAATAAAAAAGCAGAGGAATTTGAGGCACGAAGGCGACGCTGTGACACCGCTGGGATCGAGCAACTTGACATGCGTCCGGCCTCGCCCGCCACTCGACACCTGCTTTACACCGGCGTCTCGAGCGAAGGGTTAGGCAGGTATGCATGTTTGACATATGAAGATGCTGCTAATTAAGAAGGACTTTGATGGAAGCGAACTGACAGACAGTCGATTTTTCGGTGGCAGCCAATGAGTCAGTTGAGGGCCTTTTGCCTCAAGTCTAAGGAAGTAGCACGTCGTGGGAGCTTTTTTAATTTGGCCATATCCTCTTTAGTTAACTTTGTTCGGTAGGGCATGGGAATATGGACCCCTGCTCTAAGTTTCGGCGGGAGTATGGTTGGCGTTAGGGTAGGGGCGTATGTTCGTGTTAAAGTTAAGGTTATAAGGTTTAGTGATAGGGTTGGGGTCAAGAATAGGATGCAGGAAAAGGTACTTCCTTGGAATTTAGCTCAAGCCCACCTGTAGTACGCTGCGATCCATATTTGTATGTCCAAACCTTAATTATTCTGTCCTCAACATTATCGTAGGTTAGGATCCTCCCCGTAGCAACGCATTAATGTGCGGATGTAAGGTACTCGGGGACAGTCCAGGGAGCGGTGACTTATGTGGCAGAGCAAATCCTCCAGACATAATTGTTTGGTTGGAATTTCTGATTCCACTTGTCCATTCACGCCTCGAAAAATCCAGACTATTTATTTAAATTTGTGGCAAAACGCGGGCATAGGAGCTTCCACTCTTTCGATGACCATGCGCTAATTTTCAGGGAAATTGAGGTCAGTGTTAGAGCTAAGGTTAGGGTTGTAGCTAAAGTTTGGGTTAGAGTTAGGGCAAGGGGACATTTACTCTTACTGAGATTTTGCCCAAGGCGACCCGCATTACCAGGGAGGAGTTTTCTAACTCCTGTTACCGAAAAAGAAGTTTTACGAGTCCAACTGTGAGGTGGCTGAACCTGGGCAACAGACCTTGATTGCCTTTTTTCACCTAATCCTTTCAACAACTGGAGTTTCTGGTTTCAATCTGAGTTTTAAAGTCTGGCTTCTCTTTACTCCCTGACTTACTATGACGCAATGACAGACAACGATGGCTATTATCAGGCAACAGTTTGCGACCCGGTAACTCTTGGATACACATAATAGTGATCTAGTGCATAGCATAAGAGCCTACGGAACCCGCATGCTGACAGCTACCATGACCGCTCCTTCTCATCTAAACCATTCTGCGCACTGATAGTTCGGCAGCCGTTGCAACGATGTCAACCGTGTGCCCCACAGCAGGGTGAAGCGGGGACGGTGACTTGTGCATGAATTAGTTTAGGGTGAGCGTGGACTTGCGCTGCAACCACCGCACTCTTTTCTCCTCCCCCGTCTGGATCCGGCGCCAAGACGGAGAAAAGGAGACCGGAAGCGGGGAGGGCGCAGGTGGATGGCACAGTCTGGCCCCCACCTTGGCGCTTCACTTCACACACCCTGGTCGACTCAGCAAATGACCAGGATTTTAAGCAAAAACAAAAAGGGCTGGCGCGCCCAAAGTTGCCCATAGGCGTGCCATCACACCCGGATCGGATCCCACGCAGTGGTAGTGCCCTAAAGGCCACTTGAGGAAGGAGCCATTGCAGCCTAACTCTTAGACCACTAGTAGGCCGCTCCACACAAACACACAGCACTGGACCGACTGCGAGGTCCAAGTTATCCCGTCAGTTGGCAACCTTCCAAGCCACAGCTTTTAGCGCACCGTGATAGCTTCAAGCGCCTCAGATTGTTTATGGTGAGGAATATGCGCTGAGCCGTCGAGCTCACTCTACCTTCCCATTCCCAGGACCCAGTCACTGTCCTATCCGGTCAGATGACTAGTGCAGGGGATGGGCTCGGGGGCAGACATGGTCTAGTGACCATGTCTGAGCGCGCCACACGCACGAACTGACCGTGAACACAGGCATCAGGATTTCACACAACAGGCATTGACCGGTGGGTAACAATTGGGCGATGGCACCCAAAAAAATCCGTTGTCTAGAAATAATACCTTTAACAGTGGAGTCAAACGCCTGCAGGCTATATCAGCGGTTGTAGGCCTACTTTCACGCACTACTTGGACTTTCCCCGACGGCCTAACATGGGCTGTCCGAACGAGCATCGCAGGTTACATGGAGGATGGTCGCTGTTACCCAACCTTCCCCATCGTTACTCACGTACACCTGAATATACGGCATACATTCGCATTATGGCAGTTTATTACAAAACAAAATCACTTTTAAATAGGATATTTCTGCACGACATGGGAAATGAACAGTTCCCAGGCATCTGTCAAAGACTTGGCATTGAGGCCAAACCAAAGACGATACTGTGTTTCGTCTATGTGAGTCCACACAGCTCGACCACATGCAGGGCTTCCCTCGTAGATTTTCCTTTTCAGTCTACTCCAGTATGCTTCAATGGCACTGGTGTGCCGTCCGGTGGTAGGGTTCTTGAAGTTCTTTGAGTGGTTAACAGAGCAATGTAGATAACCTTCTGGGGAAGACTATTATACGCCTTCCACTCGTCCGTTACCACTATATTGAATTGGCGACCCACTTAGTAATAACGTAACGGAGAGCGGGCCAACTTCGATCATTCACCTGTTCAAATAAGGCTATCCGTCAGCTTGTATCGTACATCCAGACCAACCACCACCCATAAAACCCCTATAACCACCTGTCCCGTAAGACAGGCTGCTTTAGTTATGCGGATTTTTTTGGGTGCCATCTCCCGATTGTTACCGACCGGTGTCCCATCTAACATGCATGGGAGTGCCGTAGGTCACTTTAGAAAGGAGCACTTTCAGCCTGGCTCTCAGCACACCAGTCCGCCACTCCACACACAAACTCACACAGTTGGGCAGACTGCGTGGACTGGGGTGGGGTGTCAGTCGGCAACCATACAAGCCACGGTGCTGAACGCACCAGGACCATCAGAGAACTCGGATCACACATACAGCAGAGGAGCTGCATGGATACGAAGCCGAGACGTACAATTCCCACTTGCGTGGGAGGTGGCGGTTGGATGCTTGTGGAGGATGATGATGATGTGGTGTGATGTAGGTGGGGAAGATGTGATGGTGTGGTTTAGCCAGTGGTTGTCTGCCGCAAGTTTTCCTTAGTGCGCATGTGACCTAATAGGTCCATGCGGTGCGTGAATGCGCGGGTGAAGTGAGAGCAGTTGGGGCGGATGAGACGAGTGCGTGTAAGGGCTTCAGGGAACTGGTTACCCAGTTTCTGCTCGCCGGATTCACAAGTCACTGACTGAGCCGACGTGTAAGGTGAATGTGCGGGGACAGTGCGGAAAAGGAAAGGTCGGCAGTACAAATGTCGGTTTTGGAGATGGTGACAGTGGCAGAGCTATTGATGGTGGACGACCGGGCAATGGGGTGTGGGTTAGGTTAGGCATGGCAAGTGTGACGATGTGCTGAATGTGGTGGAGCTGATGGTGGTGGGAGTGCTGGGCGGCGGGATGTGGGTTGAGCTAGGCATGGGGGATGTTTGAGAGGTGCTAGGTGTGTCGAGACTGCGGTCAGTTCTGCTCTCGTGGATAAGCATGTGACCGAATAGACTCATGCGGTAGGTGAATGCCCGGGAGCAGTGTGAACAGTGAAGGCGAATGCTGCGAGTGTAGGTTGGTGCTTCAGGCACTGGTTTGCCAGTCTCTGAGAGATGGATTCGCAAGTAACCGACCAGGCCTATGTGTGAGGCGAAGTTGCGGTCGGAGTGAGGACAAGTATGGATCGAGTCCACATCGATGGCGTTGACGGCGAGGGGGTTAGTGTTTTTTGATATGTCAGGCTTTTATGCATTGGTGGTGGGTACGGGAGCAGTCGTAGCGGATGTTGGGACAGTGGAGAAGAAGAAGAAGAAGGGCATCGGGGTCCGGAGGTGAGATCAGTGTTATTTGTCAGTGTGGTAGGTGAGCAGACTTGAACGGGAAGACAGTGACCGGCGTAGTCTGGTTGCTGCAGTTGGTACGAAGATGTCCTGCAAGGCCGACTGGTGCCCGTAACATCCACTGGCAGCGTAGACAGGTTGAGCGTCGGCGTTGCGGGGTGGGCGCAGTTAAGATCTGCAAGCCTCACCTTTGGCTTTGACGGTGGTGATGCGGTTGGCCTCGTAGATCGCTGCTCCTGTGTTCACCGTCCTCCTCCAGGTCGGCCGATCTCGGGTTAGGTATTCCCAGCCAGGCGGGTTGATCTGAAGACGCTTCAGGGAAGTTTTCAGCGTCCATATAGCGGCGGAGTTGGCCTCTTGTCGGCGTGAACCCGTGGCGATGTCCCGTAGAAGAGTCGTTTGTGTAACTGCTCGTCGTCCATCCGCACGAGATGGCCGCTCCAGTGTGGTTGTAATTGTCTCAGTGTGGAGTAGATGTTGAGGATTCTCGTCCGCTTCAACACACCCGTGTCCGGAATTCGGTTCTGCCACCTCAGCTTCAGTATTTTTCGAAGATAGCTGAGGTGGAAGTAATTGAATCTTCTCGTCTGCTTCTCGTACACCTTCCAGGTCTTCTCTCCATACAGCAGCGTCGGCAGCATGACTGCCTTATACATCTTCAGTTCGGTGTTGATATGTAGACCGCAACTGTTCCGGACGGTGTATTGCGGACTGCCGAAGGCTTGGCTGGCTTTGAAGATCCGGTGGGCAACTTCACGATCGATCTTGGTGGTGAGGGAGAGGTGCTACCCAGGTAAGTGAAGTCTTCCACGACTCGCAGTTGGGCGCCGTTCACGTTGAGTTGGATTGCGACGTCGGCAGCATTGGGTGATGGTTGATGCATGACCACCGTGTTCTTCGTGTTGATGACCAGGCCGAAGTTGTCGCAGGCGGAGGAGAAGACATCCATGCTCCTTTGCATGCCCCCTTCAGAGGTGGTGTTGAGTGCGCAGTCGTCGGCAAAGAAAAGTTCATAGGTGGCAGTTGTGGATACACATAAGTGGAAATACATCCTCCGGTGGTTGAGCAGTAAACCGTCCGTTCTGCAGGCGATACGGATCCCGGGGCGGCTGTCACTGCAGGCATCCATCAGCACGGCAGAGAACATGAGACTGAAGAGGCTAGACGCGAGGACGCAACCCTGCTTCACTCCGTTGGCCACTGCGAATCCTCTGGGACAGCGCCATTTTTTGTGACTTGCGCCATCATGTCGTCATGGAACAGACGCACCATCTAAATGAATCGATCCGGACAACCAAATTTCTGTATGATCTCCCCAGTCCTTCACGATTCACCGTGTCGAAGGCATTCGTCAGATCCACGAAGGTAGAGTACAGGTGGGTCGGCATCTCCTGACACTCCTCCTGCAGTTGGCGAGCAACGAAGATCATGTCAGTGATTCCGTGTTGACGACGAAAGTCCCATCGGCTTTCCGGCAGGAGACCATGTTCCAGATGGTGGTTCAGGCGATTGAGAAGGGCGCGAGCGAAGAGCTTCCCGGTGATGTCTAGAAAAGAGATGTTTCCCTGGTTGTCGCAGAGCTGGCGACTACCTTTCCGCTTATATAGATGCACGAATGTAACGTCCCTGAAATCCTGGGGGACTTATCCTTGACGCCACATCTCCTGGAAGAGCGCCGTCAGGAGATTCATAAGGTGGAGGCCATCGTGCTTGTAGATCTCAGCAGGGATCACGTCCTATCCGGGCGCTTTTCCGCTGAAGAGCTGCTGCACGGCTTTGATGATTTCGTGGAGAGAGGGCGGGAGGTCGAGATCGGCGTTGGTCTCCGCTTGTGACAGGCGGGCGATGGCGGCGTCGGATATGGTGAAGGGACGGTTGAAAAAGCCTCTGAAGTGCTCGCCCCATCGCTATAGAATTTGTGGCTTCTTAGTAGGTAAGATACTCCCGTCGGCACTAAGAAAAGGAGCAATTGCGTTGATTAACGGACCGCAGACAGCCTTGATCGCGTCGAAGAAGTTATTCCATTCGTTGCGATCCACGTAACCTTGAATCTTCTCGGCCTTGCGAGCCGTCTTGCACCTCGCGCAGCTGTTGCTGCACAAGGCGGCGACTACGGAAGAAGGTTACATTGTGGTCTCCGGTGGGGCGGGTGACGTAGGCTTTGTGCAGTCGGTTTTTCTCAGTGAGTAGGTTGCTGTTGGCGGCGTAGTTGTCATCAAACCAGTCCCGGTCCGTCGACTGGACTGTTTCCCGCTGTTGGTACCATGGGTTATCCACGGAGGCGTTCTCGTTAGCGGCAGCGGCGGCGGCGGCGACTGGAAGGCTGGCTAGCCGTTGGGTTAGTTCGTTGCTAAAATGAAGGTGGTAAGCAGGCAGAGACGACAAAGTAATATTCAAATTGCCTGGGGGTCGCTTACATTGAGGCCTCCTGAGGGCTGTAGGCGGATCCGCATCTTGGAGATGACGAGACGATGGTTGGTTCATCCGTTGGCGCCCGGGATCGCTTTTGTCACCGGCACATCCCGCTGGTCTCGCCTTCGGACGAAGACATATTCCAGCAGGTGCCAATGTCGCGACCGAGGGTGCATTCAGATGGCCCTCTTCCGCATCAGCAGGCAGAAGACGAAGGTATTCAGCAGGAGACAGTGTTCCGCGCAGGTACACAGGAGAAGGAGGCCACTGTCGTTGCCGCCGACGATTCTGTGAGGACCAGCGCCCCTATCCGTCGCTCTGCCTAAGGCGAACGCTCCAGAAGGTGTAGCTGGCACCCAATTGGTCTTGTTCGGAGAACCGGGTCTCACTGAGTGCAGCGATGTGCATCTTGTAGCGCGTCAGTTTCCGAACCACTAGCACCGTCCTCCGTTCCTATCGGTTACTCCTCTGAATGTCTTATGGCCTCCTACGGTGTTTCCGACGGAGCCTCATCTCGGAAATGGCGAGGCGGTGATCCATCAGGCCAGCGGAGTCGAGTTAGCTTGTTAGGAGACGCATACACGGATACCCTCACCTGGTTCGCCCCGCCGGTCGAGGCGGTTAGCAGGGTGTGGCCTCTAGGCAGAGCTTAGCTCCGGGGAGCCACATGTGAGAGTTGGATGCCAGTTAATGGACGTTATGCATAGTCTACACCTACAAGCAATTGAGCGATCTACTACGACTGTCCCGTGGACTCACAAATGGACACCCCTACACCCCATTCACCGCACTACTGATATATAAGTTGACTTCACGTGTTTGGACTAATATCTGTATTCTCTGCTCCAGTTTGGGCTTCACCAGTTTGGGGATCACCTTAAACAAATCTTTACGGCATAAGTAGTCAAAGTGCAAATGCACGCATCAAAACCGGAGTGCAGGGTCGACTTATAACGTTACGCGGTCGGTTAAAGCAAAGGACAGACTGAATTCATAAAATGTGAATCTGAAGGGGAACGTTTGGGCTGAATTATCGGTAAAACAAGAAGTAAGATAAGCGAGAAATCACATGAGTACGGTATTTGCGATTATCAGATGGACACACCTCTCACAGACATTAGAAAACCCTGAAGAACGATATGAAAGTCAGTCTTATTATGAAAAGCAGAGGCTAAAAACTGCGAAGTAAATTCAGGCATTTACCCGCCGCCCCATTTTTCAGTCGAACGCGCCGGGAACAGTAAAATAGTTTCTGAAGAGAGATCAGATCCCGGCTAAAGCTCAAAGTGAACATGCATATACCATGCCAAGGGCAGAAACCAGGTGGATTGTTATCTGCCAAGTCAACGAAATGATTATTGTTACCTTTTCTGTTTTAAGGGCGCAATACTTGAAAGCTCGCAACCGTCGAGGCCCGGACGACAAGTTTGGCATGAAAGTATCCTCAGCATGGAATATTGGCTGGCGCCTGTCGGACAGTATCAGTCTCAATGATATCAAGAAGTCACAGTTTGCACGCACCTCCGTTATGCAAAACACCGTGTACGGCGTAAATGGCATTCCATTCAGTCCCATTGAAGAGGACCGTCGAGTATGGTATAACTGAACTCTCAGCTACATTAACATTCATTGTACTCATGTGACAGCATGCTTAGCATCTGATAAAAACGCATGTAACAACAACCGGCATCTCAAAATGATCGCAAAATACTGGACAACAACAGCTACATTCTTCCGCACTCACAAGTTACATTGACATGGCTGCTCTCAGTCCAGCTGATTTACTCGTGTGGGGTTAAACTAGGAGTGGGCCTGACTCTTCAAATAATAATTCAAACCTTACAGCCTTGCGCATGTGCAGATAAAACCTATAAACGGCAAAAATTCCAGCTATGTGGGTCATTTTCAGTGCATTGTCATTAATCCTAAAAGACCCGAAGAGAACCTATCCTTTGTCAAAAAAAGCACACAGACAATCACAGAAATTAACAAAACAGTCATCTCTTCTGATTCGACGTAACATTGCGAATATAAGCAAAACGTCTTACAAACAGACATTAGGTAGATCGCATTCGTCGAATGTTTAAAGTCTCATTCTGCGAATGACGAGAAAAAATGTGCTATAACGTAAGCCCATCAAATTAGCGAGAATGCTAGTAGCTTGGAAGTCATAGGCTGACAGACGCTGCAAAAGGTAACCCGCTATCAGCTTGGAAGGTTCTCCAGACGCCCGGTTGAGATGGAACGAATTCTGCTATCTGGCAGTGGCCTTCGGTCCGTTAACGGAAAAGTACTTCTTTGACCCTCTCTAAGGTAAATGCAATTTCGACATTATCGCCCGTAAGCGAAAAAACGAGATGAATTTGAAATCCCCAGGATCTATCAGTCTTGTTGTTGTTGTTGCTGTTGTTGTTGTTGTTGTTGTTGTTGTTGTTGTAAACTACAAGTTCACATAAGCAGATATCTTCTTCAGTTGTAAAAGGACAGCTCCTTAAGTCCCTAGATTTTTATTTTTTACTTATGAATTTCATCAATCTTCCGACTACAATGAGTCGGTTCAAAGTTGTTCTACGAAGTCGGAGGTGTAATGTGCGACCAGATAGGTAAGGAAGCGATGATAGAACCGAATAAGATAGCAGGAGGTAAAAGGAAATCAGAGACAAATTGACCGTTGTGACCAACGATGTATACGTATGCTCCACAACACGGAACCCCCCGATATTAGAAGACATATACACCGCTATTAACAACAACACCACCACCATTACCATCGCGATTACAGCCACAACGCTGACGGTGACGACCACCACTCCAAACACGAGTGAGAACAATACCGACGCCTGGCTAGCCATCACCTCCCCCGCGGCCCGCAGTGTGGGTCCAATCCCAGTATGTCCCCTTTGCGACCGCCCATTTATATTACGTATAGGTTAGGTCAGTCGTTTTGAAGTCTATCGTACTGAGACTGCGAACCCGTCACAGGAGCCCCGACATACACGTCGCACCCGCCTTACCTTCCCCTCACATACTTAAACCACATATAAAACCCCCCAACATCATGCACCGTCATCCGTAGCATTCAAACTCCTTCCAGCATCAAGCCTGGAAGGAGTTTCGCACCGCCGTCACTGGTGTGGCGGATGCAATGAAACATGTCAGAACCTGCATGTGCCTGTTGTATCCTGGCGCATGAGATGGGCACTAGGTCTCCCGTGGCAGGCGTGGGCGGTGTCTAGCACTGTCAGTCACCGCACCTAATCCTGACATAAGATGACTGGTAGGCTCGGACAGTCGACTGTTGCGGGGGAGAGGCAAGGGAAAGTGGAGCGACAGTGGACAATCCATCCCCATGGTGAATAATCTTACTCCACACTATAATAAATCTGAATTGCTTGAATTTATCGCGTGTTAAAATTCGTGACCTGGAAAGTTTCCATGTGGTCAGCACGGAGTGTGTGTGTGTGTGTGTGTGTGTGTGTGTGTGTGTGTGTGTGTGTGTGAGACTACGCCTAGCGTCCATTTGCTGGCACCCAACTCTCACCTGTGGCTCCACGTAGCTGGGCTCTGCTCAGCGGCCACACCCCGGGCAACCGCCTCGACCGGCGGGCTAAACCAGGTGAGGGCGCTGTGCGCTTGTGCCGCGCGCACAGTGTACTGCGGGCTCCGCTGGACGTTTGGTCGGATGAAACGTTGCGCCGGCGTCGTCGAGACGAGGCTCTGCCTGGTACGCCGTTGGACAGCTGCTGCCGGGATGGGTCCCCGCATCGCCTTCGCTGAGACGCGCCCACCTACGCCGACGGAGACCGCAGACCTCGGCATATGCGGTCGTTCTCCACTACAAACATAAAGTCGTCGTCCCATAGTGGGATTCGGTCGCGCCAAACAGGCACACAGGCAGCCCGATTCGGGGGGCACTGCCTGTCCCCATTACGGGGGAGGGCCTAGAAAAGGTGGCCTAAACATTGCTGGGCACCACGCCGTCTCCAGGCTAGCCAGGGCCGCAGACGTCTAAACATGGTCGAAACACTCAAAACCGAAACAACAACAATACCAATAACAACAACAACCATACTCCTTCTCCTCATCCTACCTCTTCTACCTCTACCTCCGTCTATTCTTCTGCCTATTCTTCTCCTTGTCATCTTCTTCTCCACCTCCTTCCCGTCGCCCCACTCGTTTTCCCCAGACTGACAGGGTGAGCCCGCTCACTCTGGCAGCCTGGAATGTTCGTTCCCTTTTAGACAATCCGAGGAGCAACCGACTGGAACGGAGGACGGCGCTAGTGGCACGAGAACTGGCGCGCTACAAGGTGGACATCGCCGCACTCAGCGAGACCCGATTCTCCGAACAAGGCCAACTGGAGGAGGTGGGTGCCGGCTACACCTTCTTCTGGAGTGGTCGACCCAGGGCTGAGCGACGAGACGCGGGCGTCGCCTTCGCCATCCGGACCGACATCGTGGGACGACTGCCCTGTTTGCCGCAGGGAATCAACGACCGCCTGATGAGCCTCCGCCTGCCCCTCCGGCGAGGAGGCAAGTTCGCCACCATCATCAGCGCCTACGCTCCGCCGATCACCAGTTTCGACGCCGTCAGAGACAAATTCTACGAGGACCTGCACGCCCTCTTGGCGACTGTGTCGAAGGCGGACAAGTTGATTGTCCTTGGTGACTTCAACGCCCGCGTCGGCACAGACCATACTGCCTGGAGGGGAGTGCTGGGTCCTCACGGTCTCCGCGGCTCCAATGACAACGGCCTGCTTCTCCTCTACACCTGCGCAGAACACCGCCTCACCCTGACGAATACCTTCTTCTGTCTGCCGGAGCGAGAGAAGGCCACCTGGAGGCATCCTCGGTCGCGTCAGTGGCACCTGCTGGACTATGTCCTCGTCCGGAGGCGAGATCAGCGGGACGTGCTAGTGACGAAGGCGATCGCTGGTGCTGACGGGTGGACCGACCATCGCCTCGTCATCTCGAAGATGCGTGTTCGCCTACAGCCTCGCAGGAGACCACAATGTAAGCGACCCCCATGTAAGCTGAATGTTGCTTTGTTGTCTTTGCCTGCCCACCGTCTCCATTTCAGCAATGAGCTAGCTCAACGGCTAGACAACCTTCCTATCGCTGCCGCCGCCGACGCCGCCGCCGCCGCTGCCGAGAACGCCTCCGTGGAGAACCGCTGGTCTCAGCTGCGAGACACGGTCCAGTCGACGGCTCTCGCCGTCCTCGGTCGCGCTCCCCGCCAACACCAGGACTGGTTCGACGACAACGTCGCCGCCATCAGAAATCTGCTTGCCGAGAAGAACCGCCTACACAAAGCCTACGTAGATCACCCCACTGAGGACAACAAAGCTGCCTTCTACCGCAGTCGCCGACAGCTTCAGCAACGACTGCGCGAGATGCAGGACGCCTGG